AAAAAAGTTATGCATTCCATCACGTACATAAACAGTGTCGTAATTCGCCAAGTGCAAATCAGCAAATTCGTAAAATTTTTGTTTATTTTGAACAATCCGGATAATCGAAAATCCGGATAATGGAGGTCCGGATAATGGAGGTTCTACTGTATATTGAAGTATTCCATAAATATACTTAAAAATTTTTTAAAGTTAAAAGTTTTTTAATTTAATTAAAATATGAAAACACACAAACATATATAAATATATATATAAATGTTTTGTCTGTTTTCATATTTTATACCTATATATTATATACTATATATATATATATATTATTTTACCTACTAAAAGTAATATTCAGGCACCTCCCAACTTTCAGATGTAATACATTCCTAAAAATGTATTTGAAAGTCAAACAAAGTTGCATATTATAAAAGAATAACTAGAAAGTTAAAAATAAATATTATTACATTTCTTAATAAGATAGGAAATCTTTAATTTTTTACAACAAATATGGAAGGTACACTTCTAAGACAAAACATAATCACTATGCTACACACTCTTTCTTAAAATGAACATTTTAAACTGAGAAATATTATTTAAAATGTTAATACCATAACTTTAAATAGAGATTAAACAAACAAATATTAAATTTCACAAATAATTTTGATACTAGCCAGAAATGATTAATATGATACTGAAACTAAAATTTGTAAATAAACGTCTTGTGAGTGCACAAAACTTTTGTTACAGCTGAAAATGTATGAAATTTTTAATTTAGCATGTAAAGATGATTTAGAGGAACATGTTTGACAGAGCAAATTATCTGAAAATTGAATGATCAAAAGTCAAAATAAACTTGTTTTGTTATTTTTATATTTGTTAATTTTGTGATATAAAGAAAACTTATATTTGAAGTTTTCTTTTTGCATATTACAAACATTAAATTAAATGTCATATTAAGAAATAAAATTATATGCATTGGCTTATTATCTGTATTATATTATTATTTTAGTCTTTCAGATAAAAAATAACTCAAATTGAGAAAGTTATGTTAGCATTACATTATTTTTATTGTTTCATTATATAGTTTACTCTCTAACACAAAGTTGAAGGGCTAGAGCAGGGGTGTCCAACCTGCAGCCCAAGGCAAGTTCGAATGTGGCCCAGTAAACATGTACACAAAACCGACAAATTTTTTTATTATTTATTTATTTCAACGGCATAAACTCAAAAAAGAAGTTTCGCAATGCCATAAATTTTTGAGTGGAAAGGAAATATTTTCAAATACTTGGAAATGCGTGAATGAGGAAATTATACTAAATAATGCTGGAGTTGTGACTCAAAGGAGTATAGACTCAAATTCGGGGAAAGGAGAGAATGGCCTAAAGATAAAAAGCAATGAGATAGGTTAAATAGACCTTCTTTTATGCAAATATTGACCCTTAATTTTCCAACCTTCCTCACTTCTTTATCTTTTTTCCTTTCTCTCCTTTCCCCACTTTTGGGTCTATAATCCGTTGAGTCCCAACCCCAGCTTTATTTAGTATTCTTTCCAGCGTTGCAAGATTTGGCTACTTTGCACCAAATTTGGCTACCCTTTTATTAGTTTGACATAAAAAATATGAGTTGGCGCATTGGCTACTTTTTGGGCTACATATTATTTATAAATATATTAGTTGAATAAAAATGCACTTTAAAATGGTGTTTTGTTGTTTTTTATTAATTAGAGACCCAAATAAAACAAATATTTGTGTTTTTCAAATAAATTTTTGTTTGTCTCTTTTATAATAAATGAATTTATCTATTTCTAAGTAAAAATTGAAAGTGTCTGTAGAAGTAANTTATTTTGCTTATGGCTCATTTTTTTAAGAAAAATAAACATATTAATGGTAACTTAAGAGGAAATAAAAATATATAATAGTAAAACAAATGATAAAAATTTTAATTTCAGATTTATGAAGATGATGTTTCAGAAGCTCTGTATTCATCAACAGCTTTAAATGCAATAGATTTTACTTTTAAGGCTGAGGACTATTTTGATTTAGATACGTGCAATCAATGTATTGATATTAAAATTGCCGATGGTATGACTATTGTTTTAAATAAAAGTAATGAAATAGGAATTGAAGAAATTTGCAAGTAAGTCAATTTCATAAAAATAAATTCTAAAAATTTTAATTTTTAATATTCTCTATTGGAAAGTTTGATTTAATTAATGACTCAAATAATTAAATATTTATTTATAGTTATTTTAATTTTAAAGTTTGTCTTTTGAATGTATGCAATTACTTATTTTTTCAACATCTTACTTATTATCAATTTCTAGAACTTCTTGTTTTATTCTTTCTGGTTTAGTTCTAAATTTATTTTAAGTGATTTGTTTATGTTGTTTGTTCTTTTGTGTTTCTATAAAATTTTTCGAAAACTAAAAGGACTACAGTTGGATTTTTTGGCATTGTAATATAATATAATTTTTATTAGTATGCATATTCAAGGGGAGTCAGAATTTTATATATGTTAAATGAGAAGAAAGTAAATTGCCACTTATACTAATTGATTTGTTAATGTCATAGTATGAAATATGACATCAGCTTAACTCTCGATAAAAATATTCATATCTGAAAGAATTTAGAAGATATAAAATAAAAACTTCTATAAGTCAGTTTACCATAACTATTGCCAAAGCTAAGCAACCTTTTAAACATTTATTATTATAATTTATAATAATAATAACAATAATTTTGTTAGGGTGATTAATTAAGGGTATAACATGTTACTGTACTTCTACCTTTGGACTATATTTTTTGGACTTTGGTCATGAATATACAATTAACATAATGTGCGTTTTTAAACTATTTTAGTTAGTTACATAAAACAAAATTATTCAAAATTAATATCTGCATAAATCTGGAGACCAGTGATCTTATTAGGGTGAGCAATCCCAGGAATTTTTAGGGGATTGTCCTAGCTAGATATATAAGAGTCCTTTCCCTCACTATTCAGTTGCCCCATTGTATACATAGGGCAAAAAGAGAGGGAAAAAATGTTTATAAGAATAAATTTTTTCTAAACTAAGAAATTAAATTATAATTGGAGTGAAACAAAGTAAACTATTTGAAATTAGAAACATACAAAAAAATAACCTAATTGCTGAATTAGGTTATTTTTATTTAATATAAATGTTGATGAATTTAGGATTATAATTTTCACAAATCAAACCTAAATTCAAAATTTCCAGCAAATAAAAGTCAAAAATACACATAGAACGTTTTCGGCCACTAAATTTATCGGCCTTCCTCAGGAAATATAAACTGGAAAAACTGTTCTATAAATAGAACTTAGCTGTCTTTTAAATTTTTAAAAGAACAAAAATGGCTGTGACGTATCATGTATGACGTATGTTATGAGTCTAGATAGCGTTTCCACACTGATGATACAGGAATGACATGCGTGTTGATGCAGTTTCCACTTAGTGGAAACGCTATCTAGACTCATAATATATGTCATACACGATACGTCACAGCCGTTTTCATTCTTTTAAAAATTTAAAAGGCAGCTAAGTTCTATTTATAGAATGGTTTTTCCAGTTTATATTTCCTGAGGAAGGCCGATAAATTTAGTGGCCAAAAACATTTGATGTGTATTTTTGACTTTTATTTGCTGGAAATTTTGAATTTAAATGTGATTTGCGAATATTACAGTTCCAGTTTTTGGTGAGGTTGTATTTATTTTGGATTATAATTTTGTAAATCTATGTATTTGTTTCAATTATTTACTTTGAAGCAAAATGTAAAGATTATAAAAAATTTAATCTAGTAAATTTATTCCAAAAATAGTATATATTAGTGCTTATATATTTAATTTTTTATTCTTAGAGCATTTTTAGACGGTCCTGGAGTGGATCCTAATCTTGTGAATAATGATTGGATACATAATCATTATACATGGATTGTATGGAAATTATCAGCAATGGAGAAGGCATTTCCGTGCATATTTTTAAAAAAGTAAATAATTCAGTATATATTTATCTGTAATTTTGGCAATTATAATTTTATACAGATAATGCAGATCTTATTTAATATTTGCGCATTTTAATATTAATTTAAAAATTTAATATTAAAGTATGTAAATCTTAAATTAAAAATTAATTTATTTTATATTATATTGATATGAAAAATAAGTAGTATATATTGTATTCAGTTTAAAATTTCAATATTATCAAGTTGTAAAGGTAAAATTTAGACATTTAAAGTTTTTCTAGAAACAACTTGAATAAATATTCTAGAATGTTCAATGTGTAGAGTAAGCAGGTGGAGTTTCATTACATTTTCATTGGAAATAGGTACATCAGCAATGCCTGAAAATATGAAACTTCAAACAGAAAGAAGTTTTGAAAGAACACGTTTGCATGCTGTATCTCTCTCACTTTAAAAGTGGCCACAATATAAAGAAGACTCAGTCTCATCTGCAAAGCATTTAACCAGCTGTTGCAAATGTCAAAGGGTTGATAATGCAGAAGAAGGCAATGATCTGCATTTTGCATCATCATTATAGGGGTTACTTTCATCCAAACAACGTCATTATCATGAAAGAACTCTTGTGAATAAGTAGATTGTTTGAACACCAAGATCAGAACTTGACAAAATCCGATACTGCCACAACTATGCACCAGCACATAGAGCAAATATGACTGTAGAGAAGATAGTTAATCTAGGCTGGGAGGTTCTGCCTCATCTACCTTATAGCCCAAACTTGGTGCCAAGTGACTACATCTGTTTTGTGGCCTGCAGAACAATATTGCCAATATTGTCAGTTAAGTGACAATATCCATGCTTGAGACTTTCTTCAAAGAAAAACCTCAGTCATACTATGCTCATGGAATAGAAAGTTTGTGCAAAGATTGTGAGATGTGATTTATATTGATGGTAATTATCTACAAGATTGAATTACAATTTAGTTTTGTAGATAATCACCATTAATAGAAATCACATCTTGCAATCAATATATTTCAATCACTAATTGTAATTGTTGTTGATTCAATTGGCAATAAAATATTTTTTTCAAAATGTCTAAATTTTATTTTTACAATCTGATAAAATTAATAAATAGAGTTAATGAAAAATATTTTATATAATTAAAATTGATTAGGTAGTTTTTTAAAAGGTTAAATTTAATATGTTATTTTTGTAAATATATTTATTATTTTAGATGTTTAACTCCTGAAAATGTGTTATTACAACTCAAATATCGTTATGACAAAGAAATAGATCAAAATCAAAGGTAAATTTTTAGGTTACATTTTGTTATAAGAAATTAATTAATAATAGTTTTAGATTTTTTGCTGTATTATGATTTTTGTTGTTATTGTTGTTGTTATGTTATATTTATTAATTTTAGAGAATGAACTTACATGATTTCAGTTTTTAAGGATTAAGATTTAGAGAAAGAACTGTAAATTACAAATTATTGTTATTTATTTTTTATCTAGGAGTGCATTTGCTAATAAATTTCATTAGAATTCAAGAAATACGAACATTTATATTGAAAATTTTTGACGTCTTAAATTTACATCTTATATAAGGAATAACAATGCCAAAATACTATTTTTATTTTTATATTAGGTTAACAGATTTGCTTTAACCTGCATTCTGGGGCATATGTATCCAGCATATACATATAAAAACATCATATAATCACATGATGTTTTTATTGAATTTCTCAAAAATAAATAATAGTTGAACTGTGGCTTTGTAATATTTCTGAACTGATATATTTTGAAGTGATTTCTACAGAGGTTTTCAACTTTATGACTTTTTCAGAGAAATTTTATGAAAAACAATACCTTACTATCACCTGCAGTAAATTCTCTTGCAGAATGAGAGAGCACTGTACTCTTGATTATTGCACATAACAATTACGATTCAATAAAATAACAATGTAGAATATTTAAGCTTTATCACGATGCTACACATTCTAATTTTTTTTCTCCTGCTTTCAATAACTGGACTAATTAAAATTTATTTCAAGTAAGTCATTGCAGCTATTTTTGATGTGATTTTCTCACTTTGATGTTATCACCCTGCTTTCTAGTGATCAGAGGATGATAAGAAATTGAATACTTTCAATTTTGCAACAATTAAAATTTATGTTCATTATGTAGCAATACCATTTAGTAATTGTGGCCCAAGCATTTATTTGGTAATTTTATCAATATTTTTTAAAATTATTAAAAATAAAATTATAGAATTTACTACTGGCAATACTAGTTGTTAAATCTAAAAGAAAACATTCTCCTGAGTGCAATAAAGCAATTTGTTATTCATTTGACCCACTACTGACAGAGAAGGGAGTTTTTGAAAACAAAGTAATAAAATGATTAGCAGTTTGTTGTCCTTCACAGTGTGGGACTGGCAAAGTCTTTACTTTTGTGGGAGACAATAAACTAAGCTTTACTACTTGAAAATTGAAAGATAATACAATCCTGTGAAATTTAACAAATATGATGTCAATAAGTGAAAGTTGAAGTGATTTATAGTGAGTTGAAATTTGTTAAGTTCAGTTTTTTGCATTTACAGATCAAATTACAGAAAATATTAAAAACAATCTCATTTTTTTAAACCCACAAGTATTTTATACTGTTAGATAGTAAAGAAAGTCTAGAAATCAAAGATAAAATTGTTGTCAAGCATATATATCTGTAAAAATATAAAATTTGCATTATGTATCCTGCAAAGACACATGCCCCAAGTGACTTTACAATACTGTAGGTGACCAAAGGAGAGTTTAAGTATAAATATATTTTTAACTCTTTCCACCCTATGGGCACTAAGAGAGCCTCTTTTTAGCATGCCCATTATGGGTTTGGCCAGGCCCACAATGGGGTGACTGGGCAGTGAGGGACGGGGCCCAACATATATTATCAAGTTGTAAAGGTAAAATTTAGACATTTTCAGACAATTAACTCAACAAGAATTACAGTTTCGTCTTGCGGATAATCATTATCAATATTAATCACGTCTCTCCACCTTCGCTGCAAACTTTCAATCCCGTGAGCGTGACTGGGGCTTTTCTTTGAAGAGAATCTCACACTTTGGGTATTGTTACCGAACTGTATGTTTGAAAAGCGGTTCTGCTGGGCACTAGGAGGCAGTTGGCACTAAGCCTGGACTATAAGATGGATGAGGAAGAACCTCCCAGCCAGACTGGCCAGCTTCTCTAAGATCATCTTTGCTCTATGTCCTAGCGATTGTCGTGATGGTATTGGACTTCTTTAATTTTTGGACGAAGTTTTTTGATCTCGATGTTCAAACGATCCAGTTGTTCATGTAGAGTTCTTTTGTGAGAGTGGTGTTGATCGGAAGCAGCTTCATCATGACGAAGCCAAACAAACGCAAATTATCTTCTTCACTTCGGCCCTTTGACATTTGCACACTTGCAACAGCAGGTTAGCCTTTGTTCGTCCAAGAACATTTTAATAAACACTTTGAAGATGAAATCGTGAGCCTTGTCGTTTCGTTGTGGCCACTCTTAAAGTGATAGAGCAGTATCACACCATTGTTCTTTCGAAATTTTCATATTGTCAGACATTACTGATGCTTTTAATTCCAACAAAATATGTGATAAAATTCCTTTGGTTACTTATATACCAGCATCGAATGTTCTACAACATGTTTTCCCAGTTCGCTTCTAGAAAATTAAATCGAAGTGTCTAAATTTTACCTTTACAATCTGATAGATGGTGTAGACAGATTGAACAAATTTACATTCTATCAATGTAAAAGTATTATATTCTAGACGGAAAGTTAAAACGGAAATGAAATCGTCTTTCGAAATGAAAAAAATTCATTTAACAAAGACAGACTTCACTGAAATACCATCGAAAGAGAAAGTCGGATAACATGAAAATGCCGGATTTTCATAATAAAAAATCAATGATTGAGTGTATCGATTTTTTTTTGCATCAGATAAATTCATCAAAAATATCAAAGGTCCCTGGAAACACACAGCAGACAATAAAATCTACATTAGAAAAGATTAAAGAAGGGAAAGATCAACAAGAATCGAGGATATAAACTAAGAAAAGATGTGTAAATTGCTGGGATTAAAACTGTTAAACTACTTTA